TCATGGTACAACTCAAAATTAGAATGAAGATTCGTATCACACCCACCCCACCCAACACCCACCCGTGCTGTTGTGCTTGGGAATCCCTGGGAGTTAAAGTCCACACATCTTCAAGTTGACAAGGTTGAGAAACACTGCAGCTGCTGTGGCTTTGCATGGCTCAGGTTTGATCACCAAAAGAGACTTTGCAGCACATAGGACCAGGGACATCCCGTCTGCCGGCAACATCTTACAGCAGCTGCAAGATCTGTTCCCCCATCACCACCACCCTACCAGCTGCCATTCCGCCCCCAGAAAAGGGCAAAGCTGTTTTAAGACATTGTGCTCCAAAGCACCTTTTGGAGATTAGATCCCGGGGCACACAGCTCTCAGAGCCACCCTGCCGTACTGCAGCGAAGTGCTCCTTAAGCCTGACCTGGTTGCAAGACCGTTCAAGTCAACAGAGCTCCTCTGGAGAAGACCTTCATGCTTTCGTATCCCTGACATCTCTCCGCCTTCTGATATCTGACCAGCATTCACACAGGCTCAGCTGTCCTCATGAGTCTAGATCAGGGTCCTGGGGATTGATTCTGACCTGGGTCCTCTGCTATGTCCAGGCTGATCTGGAGCAGAGAGTTCAGTGGGAGTTGAAGTCCACACATCTAGGAGATCCAAGCATGACCCTCTCTCTCAGACCCAGGTAGCCTGATCGATTAACTTGGCTGGTCCTTACTGACAATGTAAAGCTGTTCCTCCATACAATAAATCTAAACTTCTCTGAGTCTCTGCCACAGACTTCATGGAGGAGAAACAGTGGATTCTTCCATTGTACCAGGGCTATGATTTTGTTAACTGTAGCCACAGCTTGCTGACTAAGCCACAACAGGCTGAATTATGCCAACCCAGGCGGCTGAAACAAGCCACTGTAACTTCATGTGCGTCCTGATGTCATTGCACAAAGGATGGGAATGGTGTCAGTTGCATCATTTGCACTACGACTTCATGAGGTCACTTACCTCCTCTCATCCCCCCTCCCACATGTGCTAAGTCACAAGCTAGGATTTAACCACCATGCAAAGCTACTTTTCCACTAGTTTCCATTGGTTTGTGGAATAAGCCATAAAGGCATGGTGCAGATGTACCACTAAGGAATGAAGCATGGAGCGGTGTAAAAGATGACAAATATGAATTTGAGACTCAAAAACAACCATCTATTGGACTGTATTTTATCTGGCCCCAGTGAATGAAAAACTATTATGGAAGGAAAGCTTGTTGTAACAGCAATTAAAATAAAGCTTCAGATAATTTTTGTTTTTAATCCATTCAATCGTGTCCGATTCGCGGAGGCTGCCTGGACAAATCCCTGCCGTTTTCTTGGCAAGGTTTTTTCAGAAGTGGTTTGCCATTGCTTCCTTCCTAGGGTTGAGAAAGTGACTGGCCCAAGGTCACCCCGCTGGCTTTGTGCCTAAGCGGGACTAGAACTCAGGATCTTCCAGTTTCCAGCTTGGTGCCTTTACCACTACACCAACCTGGGTCTCCAATATAATCAGATAATCTAATCAATCTCCCTCTCTATATATGATTATAATAATTATTATATATTATATTATAAATACAATATCAATCTAATCAGATAATCCAATATAATCAGATAATCGAGAGCAGTGCAATTTGCAACCATGAGTGGCCCAGAGAACTGTTGGTGTTGCTTTATGATGCTGAATCATGTCCAACTCCCATCCTTAACGGTATTTGTTTCTTCGCTTAGCAATCTAGAAATACTCAATTGTCATGCAAGGGAGGGGAGATTGCAGAGAGCAACCTCCAGTCTCAATGAACCTTGCAAGGGAATGGCCACACTGGCTGTAAGTCACCGTGGTTGGCAGCTTCTGCACTTAGCTTTTCCTCCAAAACAAGAAAAACAGTAAAAAGGATGACCACAGAAACCCCTTTTCAGCAGAAGCAGTTTGCACACTCCTAGTTAACATTAGCTCCTCGACTTCAGCTTTTTTTATGTGCTTTCTTCCCTCCTGCTGTGGAAGTAGGAGTTACATGGTTGTGTGTCTGCATCCTCTGCAGAATCAGGTCACCAGACTGATCTTCTGGAGTTACAAGGCTGAAGACTGGGCAGGGGAGAATTTTTGGAAGAACAGACTTTTAAAGAATTAAATTACAATTTTTAAAACTTTGACTTATTGATTGAGGAAGTCAAGGAGCTCAACAGCCATGAAGCTGGGGGGTTAATTGGACAATATTTCACAAGCAGTCATCCCTAAATAGAAAGTTCCCGGAATCGGAGTCAGCAGAAAAATAAAGTCTCTGAAGTTGAGGGACAGCAGGTGACACCGAGGTGACAAGTCATGCCACACACTTCCCAATGACATCACGACACCATTGACAAAATGATGCAAGGGACGTGATTTGCATCAGTTGGGCTACCCAGGCTGACGTCATGACATGCATGACATCATGGTGGCTTCAATTGGATCACTAGGAGGTTGTGAAGCTTTTATGGGAAGAGATTAGCTGCACATGCCAGTTATCATTGGGAATCTTCACTGAATCATAGTTATATGGACAATAGAGTATAAACTACAGGTGAAAATGAGCAATTTTCCTCAGCAGGAAGTTGTACAGGGCAATTTAAGCAATCAGCTTGTTTCAGTTCCTATCAACAACATGGACTACATAGATGGACTCACTTTCAGGGTAACGTGTGGACGAGCTTGTGTTATTCTGGGATTCAGCCTTGGATCACGCCCACGTTGCACCATTTCTACTCCTGTTCCTCCAAAGTGGTCTGCAACCAACCCATGATGTTGCCTTCGCTCCCACCCACTTCAGCAGGAATTGAACTGCGGGGGCGCCCATCAGTCAACCAGCCCCCGTCCCTTGCAGCTGACCAACAGGCCAGGGCAGGGCTCCCCATGCAGCCAGGTCCCCCCTCCAACCTACTGCAGGCCTTGGAGAAACAAGACCACTCTCTCACCCATCTCTATCCCAAAGGGTGCAGTTGCTAGCACACGCACGC